GGCGCCCCGGCCGCCCCGCCGCTGCCGCAGCCCCCGCCCCCGGCCCGCCCGGCCCGCGGCGGCGGCAGCGTGGCCGCGGCGCGGCGTCAGCAGCGGCGGCGGCGGCAGCAGCAGCAGCAGCACCGAGAGCGGCAGCGGCGGGGCTGCCCGCGCGGTGTTTATGTCGGGTCTCGGCGGCTCCCAGCAGCATGGCGGACTACCTGATCAGCGGCGGCACCGGCTACGTGCCCGAGGATGGGCTCACCGCGCAGCAGCTCTTCGCCAGCGCCGACGGCCTCACCTACAAGTAAGCGCGGTGCGCGGCCCCACCTGGCTCCGCGCGCGCCTCCGCCGCACCGCGACCCCAGCCGGCCCTGCACGTGCGCGGCTCCCCCTGGCTGACGCCCGCGTTCCCGGCCCAATGCGAGCGGCCGCAGGCTGGGGCGGGAGGGGGTTTGCTGGGGAGGAGAAGGAAGGAGGCCCGAGCGAGGGACAGACGTGGCACAGCGACATCGCGGCTCTCGGTGCTGTGACCCGTTTCTGGGCCGGAGCCGGATCTGGCCTGTGCCTGCCTCTTCTCGTGGGCATTTGGCCACATGGAGGGGCCCTGGGATGGGTGGGAACCAGAGACGTGGGAGTTCTGGGGAGACTTTCCCAGACCTTGGTCCGAGACGCCCTCCCATTGCCAGCCGCACCTGGAAGGCAGCGGAAGCCCTTGGAGCTCCCCGCCGAGGTGGCTGCTGGAGTGTGGTCCCCTAAGAGAGGCCCAGTGGGCGCTTGGCAGGACTCCCCACCCCCAGCCTGTCCAGCCCTCCTTCCGCTGTGCCCCTGCCTGCTCACAGGTTGGTACTGCGTCTCCCAGGCCGGAGCCTTCTCTGCCTGCCAGCTGCAAGCCCACCCGCGTGGAGTTTGGAAGGAGGATGGAGACCTACCTCTGGCTCGCTTTGCCTTTTCCGTGGGCCCTGGGCCAGTTGTGCGGGCCTGGCTGCAGCACTATGTGCCTGCCAGGAAGGAGCCCCGGAACCCCGGACTGGGGCAGAGAGCATCCCTGCCGGGCGCTGCCATCCCGGCCTGGCTGGAGCCTGCGGGCAGTTTTCCTGAGCACCAGACAGGACCCCCTGCTGCGCTCCGCCTGCCCGATCCTAGCTGTGGGGTACACCGACCCCTAGGCAGTGCCCAGAGGCCCAGGCTCCGGCGTTTCCGAGGGAGCTGCAGGAGCCTGGCTGTCTGCAGAGGAGGGTTGCAAAAAGCAGGGGCAGCTGCAGTTCTGTGTCTTTGGTGATGGGAGAGGGACGTTTGCTGTCTTTCACGCTGAGTCCCTACTGGAAACTGTCCAGGGGCACTCAGAGGAGCTTCTCTAGGCCTTGGGGCAAATGAACGATCCCAGTCTCATCTTCTCTGTGGGTTTTCTTTCCTGCACTGGGGGTGGGGGTGGGGGGGACTGCTGCTTTGCATAGCCGGGTTCAGCGTGTTCCCTGAGTGTGGGTCATTTGCTTTTGGGCGTGTCTGTCCAGGCATGCTGAGCCTGCTGGGCCTCGGGCTGTGGTATTTTATCTGGACATACCCCATGAAGGCCTGCACTCCCCCACCGGGCTTCACTGTGGCCGTGGCGCACCCTAGCATTGGCTGGGGTCCTCTGTGCCCTAATGCTCCCCTTTGCCATCCCGGCCGCGTCTGTTGGCTTTTCCGATCCCAGAGCCTGCCCGGTCGGAGTGTGCCCTGCACTCAGCCCCCTGGGGTCCCCTGCATGCTCTTCTGAACCCTCTGTGACTCAGCAGCCCTGTGCCTGGGCGGGCAGCTTGGCTTGTGCTGGGTCACGTTCGTGTTATATATTATGCTACCGAGTTGTTCTCCGGCCCTGTTCGTGTTCACAGAGTGTCTCCTGCATCAAGACTGAGAAGTTTTTCAGGGCAGGCACTGTGTGTGCCGTGTGTGGCCATGTGGAGACTTTGGTATCCCTTGGCAAGGTCTGAGCCCTGAAGGCAGTGAGCATCTCGGGCCACCTGCCTTGGTGGCCCCCGAGGGCCATGGACCCATTGTCTTGGGCTCTGGCTGTCTGGGCTGGAGTCTGCCAGGCAAAGGGGGTTTGCCTTGATGGGGCAGCAGCAGGCATCAGGGGGCCCCTGGCCCCTGCTGCTCCTCTGCCTCCCCACCACCCCCTCACCCAATGCTGCCCCCTTTGCGGCCATCTCCCTGCCAGTAACGCACATGTGTCTGTCTTTACAGCGACTTCCTGATCCTCCCCGGCTTCATCGACTTCATAGCTGACGAGGTGGTGAGTACCTCTTCCTTGCTCTAGGGCAGGGGTGCTGGGGGGGTGGGTGGTGGTGGCAGAGGCGCTGTGGGGGGTGGCAGAGGCGCTGTTGGGGGGCGGACTTGCTGCGGGCAGAGCAGGGGGAGTCTTCTCCGGGGTGTGGTGCAGACTGCTTGTGGCTGCCAGAGAAAGCGGAGCATTGCAAAGGGTTGTGCCTGATGGGACAGAGGCTGCTGTGGGCTCTCAGGGGGCTCCGGCCTGGGGGCATGACCAGAGGGTGCTCTGGGCGGGGGTGGGGGGTGGGGTGGGAAAGGCCTGGGAGGAGGCGCTTGGCTGTGGCTCCTCATGATGTCAGCTGTAAGGACTGGCTGATGTTGAGAATGCTGAGCAAGGATGCCGTGGAAGCCAGTAAAATCCTGAGACTTTGAATCCAGTGGGCAGACTTGTTCCCGGATCCACAGTGCCCAAGCACTACCAAGAGATCTGGAAGGAGTCGGTTTTGGGCCGAGTCCAAGGAAGTGCAGGGCTTTGCTGTCCAGAAGGGGCTCAGCAAATGAGCCAGACCAATGACCATGCATGTCTGAGCCACTCACAGATGCCAAGGGTATGGGTCATTACGACAGTGGAAGTCACTTCGACAGGAAGTTGGATGGGTCTGTGATGAATTCATAGACATGTTCAAAAATGTCATTCCTAGCCGGAGCCGCGGCTCACTAGGCTAATCCTCCGCCTTGTGGCACCGGCACACCAGGTTCTAGTCCCGGTCGGGGCACTGGATTCTGTCCTGGTTGCCCCTCTTCCAGGCCAGCTCTCTGCTGTGGCCAGGGAGTGCAGTGGAGGATGGCCCAGGTGCTTGGGCCCTGCACCCCTGGGAGACCAGGAGAAGTACCTGGCTCCTGCCATCGGATCAACGCGGTGCGCCGGCCGCAGCACGCCAGCCGCGGCGGCCATTGGAGGGTGAACCAACGGCAAAAGGAAGACCTTTCTCTCTCTGTCTCTCTCTCACTGTCCACTCTGCCTGTCAAAAAAAAAAAAAATGTCATTCCTTTGCTCCTGCTGTCCTCGTGGCTGTTTATTCTGGTCTGATTCTCACGGAAGGCCAGCGGGCTTGAGTGTGCCGGGGAAGCTTGTGTGCAGCCGGTGCACAGCCAGAGGTGACCCAGCGTGAGTTTTAGGGAAAATTCAGGCTCTTCTGAACATGGCCCTTTATGACAGCAACCAGGAAGCTTTCTTGGTTCAGCTGTTCAGTTTTTCTTTTTAATATTAATTAATTAGACAGTGGGGTGGAGAGAGAGAGAGAGAGAGAGAGAGAGAGAGAAAGATATCTCATCCACTGATTCACTCCCCCAATGCCCACAACAGCTGGGGCTGCGCTAGTCCAAAGGTGGTAACTCAGCCTAGGTCTCCCATGTGAGTGGCGAGAACCCAATTACTGGAGCCATCACCACTGCCCCCCAGGGTCTGCTTCAGCAGGAAGCTGGAGTCAGGAGCCAGAGCCAGAAATGGAGCCCAAAGACTCTGATGCGGGGTGCGGTTGTTGTCATTGGTGTTTTAACTGCCAGACTGCCTGCCTGCCTGCTGCAGCTGTTCAGTTCAGCAGTAGTTAGAGCTGTGTGCCAGACCCTGAGCTGGCTGTTAGCAAGAGAAGAGTAGAAAAGACCTGCCCAGCTGTCCAGGGTCTCCTTGTCTATGGCCTTCATAGAAGGCTGCGGGAGCTGATGTTGTGATGCGGTGGGCTAAGCCACCACTTTGTGATACCAGCACCCCATATCAAAGCACCAGTTTAGGTCCTGGCTACTCTGCTTCTTCTTCTTTTTTTTTTTTCCTTAAGATTTATTTATTTATTTGAAAGTCAGAATTACAGAGAGAGAGAGAGAGAGAGAGGAGAGAGAGGTCTTCCATCAATGGTTCACTTCCCAATTGGTCACAATAGCCAGAGCTGTGCCGATCCAAAGCCAGGAGCTTCCTCCGGGACTCCCACGTGGGTGCAGGGGCCCAAGGACTTGGGCTGTCTTCTACTGCCTTCCCAGGCCATAGCAGAGAGCTGTATCAGAAGACGAGCAGTCGGGACTAGAACCAGCGCCCATATGGGATGCCAGCGCTTCAGGCCAGAGCATTAACCAGCTGCGCCACAGCGCTGGCCCCCTACTCTGCTTCTGATCCAGCTTCCTGCTAATGCACATGGGAAAGCAGCAGCTGTTGACCTGATTCCTTGGGCCCCTACCACCCATATGGGAGACCTAGATGGAGTTCCTGGCTTCAGCCTGGCCCAGACCCGACTATTGTGGCCATTTGGGGAGTAAACACAGAAAATGTTCCTCCATCTCTCCCTCTATGCTTCTGCCCTTTCAAATGAATAAATACATAAATCTTAAAAAAGAAAAAAAAAGGCTGTGGCTCTTCTGAGGCATGAAGGGAGAGAAGAAGATAACATTTTCTAGGCTGTAGGGTGAGGGTTCTGAGCCTGGGTCTGTGATAGACTGAAGGGGCCTGTGAACCTCAAAAATCATGTATAAGGGGTGCGGCCGAGTGTTTTGGAGGCTAGGGTTATTGGCAGCTGTCAGTCTGAATCTGAGAGGGGTCAGTGATCTGACCAGATGCGCCATTCCTGGACAGATGACCCCTAGCAAAATGCCTGGGACCAGAGTGTTCTGATGTCAGACTTTTTTGGGTATTGGAATATTTGCATACACATCATGAGGTCATCTTGGGGATGACACCCAAGTCTTTTTTTTTTTTTTTTTTTTTTTTTTTGACAGGCAGAGTGGACAGTGAGAGAGAGACAGAGAGAGAAAGGTCTTCCTTTTGCCGTTGGTTCACCCTCCAATGGCCGCCGCTGCAGCCGGCGCACCGCGCTGATCCGATGGCAGGAGCCAGGATCCAGGTGCTTTTCCTGGTCTCCCATGGGGTGCAGGGCCCAAGCACCTGGGCCATCCTCCACTGCACTCCCTGGCCATAGCAGAGAGCTGGCCTGGAAGAGGGGCAACCGGGACAGAATCCGGCGCCCCGACCGGGACTAGAACCCGGTGTGCCGGCGCCGCAAGGTGGAGGATTAGCCTATTGAGCCATGGCGCCGGCCCTTTTTTTTTTTTTTTAAGATTTATCTATTTATTTGAAAGTTAGAGTTACAGAGAGAGGGGGGGGGAAGTCCTCCATCTGCTGGTTTACTTCCCAGATGGCCGCAATGTCCGGAGCTGGGCAAATCCGAAGCCAGGAGCCTAGAGCTTCCTCTAGGTCTCCAACGTGGGTACAGAGGTCCAAGGACTTGGGCCATCTTTTTTCTTTTTTAAAAAATATTTGTATGTATTTATTTCTCTTTATATATACATAAACATAGATATGCATAAATTCTAGTCTACTAAAAAGTGTACATATGGAGAGAAGGAGAGAGGTCTATCTATAGAATTACCACTTAGGAGAGGACTTGGGCCGTCGTCTGCTGCTTTCCCAGTCTACAGCAGAGAACTGGATCGGAAGTGGAGCAGCCGGGACTCAAACCCGCGCCCATATGGGATGCTGGCACTGCAGGTGGTGGCTTTACCCGCTATGCCACAGCACTGGCCCCCGAGACCCGATCAAAACGTGAAATTCACTTATGGTTGATGTGCACCTTAGACACATAGCCGAGGTCCTTTTATAGGTGTTTTTAGCGTGTTTGCTTTAGACTGTCACCTGGGTCGGGTGTGACGGCTACCACTGTGGCATCACATCGGCCTTCCTGGGCGTCCAGGAAACAGACTCCCTCCCATGCCTCTCCCCACTCCCGTCACCACCTGCTGCCCGGGGTTTCCCTTACAGCCTCACCCTGACTGAACACATCCTACCCATGCATCTTGTCTCTGTCATTTTTTAATTTTTTTTTGGAGAAGATAGTGATATCAGAGAGAGAGAGGTCTTCCATGCTCTGGTTCACTCCCCAAATGGCCGCAACAGCCCAGGCTGGTCCAGGCTGAAGCCAGGAGCCCCATCCAGGTCTCTTACGCAGTGGCAGGGGTCCAGATACCTGCTCCATCTTCTGCTGCCTTCCCAGACAACACTAGTAGGAAGCTGGATCGGAAGCGGAGCAGCCAGGACTCTCTGATGTGGGCTACTTGCGTTGCATGTGGCAGCTTAGCTTGCTGTGCCATGGCGCTGGCCCCTCTGGCATCTCCCTGTCCCAGTAGTGTGGGCTGAGTGAGGCTGGCAGGGACCCCATCGGCCTCTTTGGCTGCCGGATGTCCGGGTGACTGGCGTGTGATCAACCGTGCTCCGTCCCCAGGACCTGACTTCAGCCCTGACTCGGAAGATCACGCTGAAGACGCCACTCATCTCCTCCCCCATGGACACCGTGACCGAGGCTGACATGGCCATCGCCATGGCTGTGAGTCCTGCGCCTGGGTGGGTGGGACCCAGGGGCGGGGCTGAAGAGGGCCGGGGGCCCCTGCTCTGACCTCACTTCCCTTCTGCCACAGCTGATGGGAGGCATCGGTTTCATCCACCACAATTGCACCCCAGAGTTCCAGGCCAACGAAGTGCGCAAGGTCAAGGCAAGTACCAGGCCCAGCTCCAGGAAGATGCCAGGGGCAGCCCCTCCCCTAGCCCTGTGGGCCGATGCCTTCTTTGGTGGTGGCGGTGGGCTCTTGACTGCCCACCCTAACCATGGGGGGCACAGGGCCAAGTTCTCCCTTTCCCCTGGGCCCCTCTGCCCACCGAGCGCCTGGCTCCCTGGGTGGTACCTGCAGGCCCCCGTCTGTCCCCTGCAGCCAGGCAGCCCCATGCTCCGGACTCCCTTGCCAGCCTCTTGTGTGCCCGTCTGCCTGCAGAAGTTCGAACAGGGCTTCATCACAGACCCGGTGGTGCTGAGCCCCTCTCACACCGTGGGCGACGTGCTGGAGGCCAAGATCCGGCACGGCTTCTCCGGCATCCCCGTAACCGAGACGGGCGCCATGGGCAGCAAGTTGGTGGGCATCGTCACCTCTCGCGACATCGACTTCCTCGCGGAGAAGGATCACACCACGCTCCTCAGTGAGGTAGCCGCCAGGCTGGGGCACGGCGAGGACGGTGCACGGCCTGTGGCCAGGGACCAGAGGGAGGCCCGGCTCCTTCCCTCTCCCCTGCCAACCTGCAGGCCGATCTCCCTGGCCCCACAGGTGATGACTCCGCGGATCGAGCTGGTGGTGGCTCCGGCGGGCGTGACCTTGAAAGAGGCAAATGAGATCCTGCAGCGAAGCAAGAAAGGTACCTGCAGCAGGCGGAGAATTCAACCCCAGCCTGAGCTCTGGTCCGCAAGAGCCCCAGTTTCTGCATGGCCACCCAGGCTGTCCCGGCAGCCTCTCAGGGCCTGGCCCAGGGTCTGAGAAGCCCGGGGAAGCTGGAAAGTGACTCCCGGAGGCCTCGTCCTAGATTTATTTATTTGAAGGGCAGTGTTACAGAGAGAAAGAGAGAGATCTTCCATCTGCTGGTTCACTCCCCAAATGCTCACAGTGGCCAAGGCTGGGCCAGGCCGAAGCCAGGAGCCAGGAGCTTCTTCCAGGTCTCCCACATGGGTGCAGGGGCCCAAACACTTGGGCCATCTTCTGCTGCTTTTCCCAGCCATTAGCAGGGAGCTGGATTGGAAGTGGAGCAGCCAGCATCGCAGGCGGCGACTTTTCCTGCTGTCCCCCAATGCCGGCCCCACCCTTTGTCTCTTCTTGCTTAAAGAAGGGTGCACTCGCTTATTAAAGGCTCAGGGAAGTCTTGCAGTGGGTCATTGGGGCTGTGTATGTAATGTTTCCTGGGTGCCCGTGGGCTACCCTGGGGAGGCTTCCCTAGTTCATACTCTACAGAGGGTTCTTGGTGTTCATCCTGAGCGGGCCCTGTGTTCCTGCTGTGCTCTGACAGGGAGTTTTGACCACTGTGGCCCGTGGCCCAGCAGGTGAAAGGCGGCTAGTGCTCCGCGGCGGCCCCTCCCAGCCTGGCCAGGCCACAGGGCAGGAAGGGCTCTAGGAACCTGCTTGGCTGGGAGGTGCCTTTGCTTCCTGTTCCTTGGGAAGATGTCCAGGTCCCCGGGAACACTTCCTGGGTGGTGCTGCCACCTAGTGGCTGCTTTGGGTACTTGAGTAGAATCCCTGGTCTGAGCCGGCGCCGTGGCTCAATAGGCTAATCCTCCACCTTGCGGCGCCGGCACACCGGGTTCTAGTCCCGGTCGGGGCGCCGGATTCTGTCCCGGTTGCCCCTCTTCCAGGCCAGCTCTCTGCTATGGCCAGGGAGTGCAGTGGAGGATGGCCCAGGTGCTTGGGCCCTGCACCCCATGGGAGACCAGGAAAAAGCACCTGGATCCTGGCTCCTGCCATCGGATCAGCGCGGTGCGCCGGCTGCAGCGGCGGCCATTGGAGGGTGAACCAACGGCAAAGGAAGACCTTTCTCTCTCTGTCTCTCTCTCTCACTGTCCACTCTGCCTATCAAAAATAAAAAAAAAAAAAAAAAAAAAAAAAAAAAAAAAAAAAAAAAAGAATCCCTGGTCTGGTCCTACCCTGCCACCTGCCCCTTCATCTCACCCCTGCGCTTACCACCAGGGAAGCTGCCTATCGTGAATGATCGGGACGAGCTCGTGGCCATCATTGCCCGCACCGACCTGAAGAAGAACCGCGACTACCCTCTGGCCTCCAAGGACTCCCACAAGCAGCTGCTGTGCGGGGCTGCTGTGGGCACCCGTGAGGATGACAAGTACCGCCTGGACCTGCTCACCCAGGCAGGGGCCGATGTCATAGTGCTGGTGAGGAGGCCACAGTCCCACAGACACAGTCCCCGGTGCCTCTCATTAAACCTGTGACCCTCCCTTGCCGCTCTGGGGCACAGCATGCCATGCCAGGACTGGGAGGGTCCCAGGGATAACCTGGGTCCCCCTAGGAGCTTCCTCACTCCTGATGGGACCCTGATGGTGGTGGCTCCCATGCACCCGGACCCACCCACTTGCCAGGCACCGATGCAGCTAGCTCAGATCCTAGCAACAGGCATTCCCTGTTGTCAGATGAGGGCCCCTAGGCTTACCCGGATTAAGTTATTTGATTGGGTTAGGGAGGTGGTGGGAAAGGACATACCCCAGGCAGGGTCTCCTTGCTGGGAGGCTCAGTCTGTACATTTGTGGTGTTTAACCTTTGGGGGGGGAAGCAGGCCCCTTTGAGAATTAGCTTAGAGTTGGCAAGTGCCTTTCTAGAAAAAAGGGCATTTTTTTTTAAAGATTTCTTTTCTTTTTATTTAAGAGTGACAGAGAGATCGTCCATCTGCTAGTTCATCCCCTAAATGAATTGGGCCAGGAGAAAGCCAGGAGCCAGGAACTCCATCTGGGTCTCCCACGTGGGTGGCATGGACCTAAAGCTTCCCTCCGCTACTTTCCCAGGCCGTAGCAGGGAGCTGGATCGGAAGTGGAGCAGCCGGGACTCGAACCGGTGCCCATATGGGATGCCGGTGCCATAGGCAGAGGCTTAATATACTGTGCCACAGCACTGGTCCTGAGAATGCACATTCTTAGAATGTTTCTTCTGTGATCCCAGGGGTCCCTCTGCTCAAGCCCCCCCGACCCCCAGCCCCATGCAGACTCAGCATCTAAGCCCAAGCTTTCTGTGCCCTCCCCAGGACTCCTCCCAGGGGAACTCCGTGTATCAGATCGCCATGGTGCACTACATCAAGCAGAAGTACCCCCACCTGCAGGTGATTGGGGGGAACGGTGAGTGCGGGTCCCTCCTGCTCCTGCTCCGTGTCCTTGGTCATCTATAGGAGAGGGTGGGGGCTGGACTAGGGTCCCAGGAAGCGCCTGGCAGGGGGCTCACACACGTCCTCTGCCTCTCACCCCCAGTGGTGACAGCAGCCCAGGCCAAGAACCTGATTGACGCCGGTGTGGACGGACTGCGCGTGGGCATGGGCTGCGGCTCCATCTGTATCACCCAGGAAGGTGGGTGTCGGGAGGA